TCTCTCCCCAGAATGCAGTAATAGTGGCGTTGTCGTCGAAATCCTGGGACGTGGAGACAGCGACAGAGCTACTGCTCAGTAACTGAATCTTGACACCCTCTTCATCTTCCTCTTGATCCCCGTCTCCCCTCCCTCACACATACATGCGCTCTCTCCTCCAAATTGCAGCTGTCTCAAGGCGTGTTTTCCCCCGTTGCACCCGCTGTTTCACAGTGGACTCATCGCCTCCACACTTCCCCCTCTTCTCCATCCTCCCCCTTTTATCCCCTCTGTGTGGCATCTCTCCTCCTTGCTCATCACCTCTGCTGTACAACACTCCAATCAGTCGCTCTGTGAGCTCTTATCTCTGGTTTCCTTAAGTTCATTCAACATTCCACTCAGCGCTACAATCAGAAGTTCAACCACATCTCGCCCCCCTTTGAAGTGAATGCTAGACTTAAGACCCCGCCCATGCCTGCCAATCTCCCGGTTTTCCTGGCTGTGTCCAGGAAGCGGCTGTCGGCGACTTATTCTTGCCTATGCAGTGCATTTACTTTCATTTATGAACGTTTGCAGGAGAGAGTCAAGCCAGGTCATGATTTTTACACACTATTGGGATGGTTTTCTGAACAGGGAATGAGCAGAGTCCTAGAGTAACTACATTTTAAAATTGGTATGTCTTAAGAAATTGTCTTGCGCTAGGTCCAACATCACTACCCTCGTTCATTCACTCATCCTTAGACAATAAACACTCATACACACTGAAAGTCTGAATAATTATCTTGTTCCATCAATGGGAGTTTTTGAGGGCACTTAAAATGCATAAGCAGTTCACTTAAAATGAAATTGTAAAATATACTGTCAACGAAGGAAATATGGAGTTAATTATACACAGAACTGGACAAGGCTTTTTCCCTGTTCTGGAACCTAGCTCATAAAGTGTCACTGAGGTGTTCACACAGTCATGCCCCCCACCCCACCCACACACCCACACACACACACACACACACATTTTTAAAAGATTTTATTTGGTCTCCTGCAGGAATACATTTGGATTCTTGTTTTTAAACTGAGAGAAAACAAAACAATCAAATAAATGTTCAGCCGTAACACAACCTGTCACATGTCTGGATGGAAATAGTTCGAAACGAAATTGAAAAATGTTTCATCAACTTAACTGCGCCAACAGATAAATATGTCAAAATGATTCATCTGTAAATAAAGATATTAAAGTCTGTGTAAATTAATCCACGCTGTCCTTTTTTTTTTTTTTGTAGCACTGTTATATTTCTGAACGGGAATAATGTTTTCCCCTTAGCAAATGCAGCTAATACAAAAAAACTACCTTGCAACAATGTAATGCTCAGTAAATCAGTCAGTAGTTTCTTATATAGTTAATCTCAGTCCCAACATTGATATACAGGTGCTGGTCATATAATTAGAATATCATCAAAAAGTTGATTTATTTCAGTAATTCCATTCAAAAAGTGAAACTTTTATTATGTATACATTCATTCCACACAGACTGACATATTTCAAGTGTTCATTCCTTTTAATTTTGATGATTATAAATGGCAACTAATGGAAAAACCCAAAATCAGTATCTCAGAAAATTAGAATATTGTGGAAAGGTTCAATATTGAAGACACCTGGTACCACACTCTAATCAGCTAATTAACTCAAAACACCTGCAAAGGCCTTTAAATGGTCTCTCAGTCTAGTTCTGCAGGCTACACAATCATGGGGAAGACTGCTGACTTGACAGCTGTCCAAAAGACGACCATTGACACCTTGCACAAGGAGGGCAAGACACAAAAGGTCATTGCTAAAGAGGCTGGCTGTTCAGAGCTCTGTGTCCAAGCACATTAATAGAGAGGCGAAGGGAAGGAAAAGATGTGGTAGAAAAAAGTGTACAAGTAATAGGGATAACTGCACCCTGGAGAGGATTGTGAAACAAAACCTTTCAAAAATGTGGGGGAGATTCACAAAGAGTGGACTGCAGCTGGAGTCAGTGCTTCAAGAACCACTATGCACAGACGTAATCATCACAATTAAATGAAAAACATTTGAAATATCAGTCTGTGTAATGAATGAATATAATATCCAAGTTTCACTTTTTGAATGGAAATACTGAAATAAATCAACTTTTTGATATTCTAATATAATATGTAATATATGACCAGCACCTGTACAGTCCCCTCTAAAGGTATTGGAACGGTAAGACGAATTCCTTTGTTTTTGTTGTTCACTTAAGACATTTAGGTTTAAAATCAAAAGAGACAAGAGTTCAGAATTTCAGCTTTATTTTCTGGTATTCACATCTGGATGTGTTAAACAACTCAGGACATATCACCGTCTGTATTAGACCACTGCATTCTTAGGTTGGCAAAAGTAATGGAACAAATAATCTTAAAGTAAATAACATTTAACATTTGGTGGCATAACCCTTGCTTGCAATAACTGCCTCAAGCCCATCGACATCACCAAACTGTTGCATTCTTCATTTGTGATGTTAGTGCAGGCTTTTACCACAGCTTCTTTCAGTTCTTGTTTGTTTTGAGGTGTTTCTCCCTTCAGTCTCCTCTTAAGGAAGTGAAATTGAGGTCAGGTGGTTGACTTGGCCAGTCTAAAACCTTCCACTTTTCCCCCTGATGAAGTCCTTTGTTTTGTCGGCAATGTGCTTTGGGTTATTGTCCTGCTGCATGATAAACTTCCTCCAGATCAATGCATTTCTCCTTAAATTGGCAGACAAAATGTTTCTGTACACTTCTGAATTCATTCTGCTGCTACCATCATCCGTTACATCATCAATAAATATTAATGAGCCTGTTCCAGAAGCAGCCATGCACGCCCAAGCCATGACATTACCTCCAACATGCTTTACAGATGAGCTTGTATACTTCGGATCATAAGCAGTTCCTTTCTTTCTCCACACTTTGGCCTTTCCATCACTTTGGTAGAGATTAATCTTGGTCTCATCAGTCCATAAGATTGTGTTCCACAACTTTTTCTGTACTTCTTTGCAAATTTCAATCTGGCCTTCCGATTCTTACTGCTGATGGTTTGCATCTTGTGGTGTGGCCTCTATATTTCTGTTCTCTGAGTCTTCTTCGAACAGTGGATTGTGATCCCTTCACCCCTGCACTGTGGACGTCGTGATTTGGGAGGTTTTCTTCACAGCTCTCATGATATTATTATATTATATTATTATATATAAATTACTGTTGTTTTCCTTGGCCGACCTGTTCGACGTCTGTTGCTCAGTGCACCAGCAGTTTCTTTGTTTTTCAGGACAGTCCAAATTGCTGTGCTTGCTATGCCCAATGTTTGTCCAATGGCTCTGGTCGATTTTCCTTCTTTTCTCAGCTTGACAATGGCTTGCTTTTCTCCCATAGACAGCTCTCTGATATTCATGTTGGTTTATCCTCTTTAACAGGAAAGGCAGTCTTTATAGGTTTGAACCAAGTATGAAAACTTAGACTAGTCATGCAGAGCTATTTAATGTTTGGACAATCAACCTAAAAGGCAACACCTGGGCAACAAGAAACATCTGTCAGTCACATGTTCCAATAGTTTTGCTCACTTGAAAAATGGGTGGGTTTAAGCAAAGGGTGGTATGTCCTGAGTTGTTTAACACATCTAGATGTGAATACCACGAAATGAGAGCTGAAATTCTGAACTCTTGTCTCATACTCATCTTTTGATCTTGAACCAAAATGTCTTCAGTGAACAACAAAAACAAAGGAATTTGCCTTACTGTTCCAATACTTTTGGAGGGGGCTGTATAGAGAAACTGTTTATGCTGCTTGTTGTTAAGGATCCAACATGTGTTTATAAGCTTGTTTGGCAGTGCACATATTTGAATAAAAACTAGGCTGATGCATTAAATTTACAAGACCAACAGAAATTGAACCTCCAGGGAATTACGTTGCCAGTGAAAATGGAGCAAGCAAGCCAATTTAGATGAAAAATGTGCATGCAGAAGAACTGGCGAATGGATTATGTATATTGGAGTTTGCTTTCCTGTACAGTTGTACTTTGAACTTGTACAGTAGTATTGCACTAGTGTTGCATTAGATTCCTGGTAGAACAACCAAAATTTCTTCTTTTTTTTTTACTGTCTCAACAAGGACGTAATATATGCACTTATCATAAGGTTCAGATCACATTGCTTACAGTGTGGCACACTGAGAACGAGCATAACAACAGATGGCATGCTTGTTAGCATGTTGTGCCGTGCTGAACCTCTCCAAGAAACCCTGGCACTAATCTGAACACTGCATTTCAGCCTGCGTACTTGCACCAAACACGAGAAAACCTGCCACTGAGGTGTTTATGTCCACTATTCAACAGCAGTATGTAGTGTAGATCCATCCAAGGACCTCGGTGACAGTATCACAGTGAACTGTTCAGCAGTGCACCTGCTGCACACTACAGCAAACTCAGGTTTCTTTTGCGCCACGAGTGGAAAAAGCTTATTTTGTATCATTCCGCTGGATGTTGGCATATCTCTCTAGTACATCTACTGGAACTCCTCCAAGCATCCCAGAGCAGGTTACTGTACTACATAGAGCTATATACGTGCCTTGAATAGAGCACACTCCCTGGCTCATCTAATGGCCCTGAGATAATCACTCTCTATGCTATTAAAATGCACACAAAATAAATTAGCTTGTTGCATTATTAAAGTGTTGAAGGTTCCATAGGACTGACTTCACCACAGCACGCCTCCTTGGATATGCTTTGTTCCAGCTGTGCTACATTAGATTAATTTTGATGTTTGGGCCCACAGGAAAATAAAGATGACTCCCCCAGTAATAATATTAGAAATTGTCATATAACCGTGAGGATATAGTGGCCTTTTTAAAGTCTTTTATTTCAGCACAGCTGTAAGATTCCCAAATAGAATTCACTTTTGGGTGATTTTGTAAGTGACTCAAATAATAATAATAATGTTTTATTTATAACAAGTATAACCATCTATAAAATGTTTCTAGAGTTTCCAGATCCAAAATGTTGCTTTTTCTCTCTGATCAAAACTCTAAAATCCCTAAAAGGTATATGTAGGGATATTAAATTAAGCTTTATGTCTTTTCCGTTCATGAGTGGTGTTGACTGATTTTTACTTCCGGTTGTGCATCAATATCCTCAAATTAATATCTGTAAATAAAAACCTTTTTTTCCACTTTTAATGTAGAAAAGGTAACTGGCAGAAAGTGCATCAAGTTGAGATGATAAAATATGTGCCATCATTTTATGTGTCACTTTAACAATAATATTTAGTGTTATTACTATTTACGAAGACCTACCCATAACTACGTAGCCAGCACTTGATTGATTGTATGATTGACTGCTCCATATCTTCCTGGAATTGGCAGTGTGTTGTTGGAGCAGGCCAGCAGCCCACCCGGCTGCGGGGGGTTTGACTGACAGGTGAATAGCCCAGTGTGTGGTGAGGCGATGATTCGTGGGCATCCTGTTTCTCTCTCTGCTGCTATGTGATAGCCAGAGTTTTATTCCGTGTCTCAGTCAGCAGACATGCAGCCTCCCCTGCCAAGCTGTAAGAGCTGCCTTGACCGCAAGGAAGACCAGATGAAACAGTGCCCTGCTATCTGCAACTGAGTTTAATTGGGGTTGAACGGGCATCATGTAGGCCGGTTAGGAGATGAAACTAAGGGGCTGTTACATTTCTGTTGGCTGTTGTCTTTCATTTCTTCTTGAAGGTATTAATAAATGCTCAAGATGATTCCAATTATCTGCCTGGCGATGCTGCTTCCTGAAGGTAAGCCAGACACTCATGCGTCTCCGTGATGTTAATTAGTTAAAGAGGTTGTGCTGTTGTGTTTGTAAAGACAGGCTTTTCATTTGGTTAAAAAGGTTAACAAACGTTAAATGCATTGCTGTGTGTGTAATTGTGCACAGACCTCAGTGCCATGAGCAGTTGCTCTGACGTTGAACTTTGCATGTGGCTTTCAAACCATTTAACCAAACAATCTAAAGAATCTTATGAAAGTTAAGATGTTTGTTTGCTAATGTATCAACAGATGTCTTAGAAAGACCTGAACCCCATTTTAAAAAAAGTTTCCACACCACTTTTGGGGCTTTCTCTGAAGGATCCACTAAGGGGATTTGAAGTGGCCAGATAAATGCAAAATAATTATTCCTACAATTTCATAAAAAAAAATTATTCACTCATCATTTAACATTTATGCCTAAACATGACATTAAAAAAAGAGCAATAATAAACAGTCAAACTTGGTTTTGAGATTAATTGAAAGGCACTATTAGAACAATGTGAAGAAAAAATTCTGGTTAAACTCGATGTTAATATGTTTAACTTAAACTTGTTAAACGTATTTATCTCAGAAGCACTGGTACATAAAATGACAATGAAAAATGACTCCCACATCTTTCCCCCTCCAGTGGCTCACTCTGCTGAGGGTCACTATGCCACGAAGCTCCTGAATGATTTGATGGAGAATTATTCCAACGCCTTGCGGCCTGTGGAGGACACTGACCGAGCCCTCAACGTCACGTTACAGATCACTCTCTCTCAGATCAAAGACATGGTTGGTACAAGCTCGTCAGCAAGTCTAAAGTCTTAAGTCCTCATTACATGTACTGTATATTATGGTAAGATCTTAATTATCAAAATAAACCATACTTTTTCGAACCAGACAACAGGACTGTCCACAACTAAAACAGATTTGCTAAAGTGATTAGTTTAACTGGAAAGTCTTTAATATTATTTCTACAATATTATAGTACCTCTAAAGATGAATCTGTCATGTACACAGAGTTCCAGACCAAGAGGCCAAGAGGTATTTTATTACTATTCCCAATAATAAGTAAGAGTTCATTCTTCATTACAGCGCCAATAAAAAAGCAATAGTCAACATAACATTTCTTGGCTGATCAAATAGTCACACTGTACTCCTGCTTCCAGTGAAACTAAGCTGTAAGTTAATTTGGGAGAAATCATGCAAATACATAGAACTGTAGGTTATAATAGATACACTGAACCTAGAACCAAACCATGAGGAGGTTTGGATTGCTGCGTTTTCATCATTGCAAAGACAGAGTTTGTAGATGCTGGTGTATATGAATGGCAAACCTCCCGCTGTACAGGCCTGGCCTACTGTTACTCAGCTGGCTCAGGTTCCTGTTCAGGTTCAGTGCTGTGTCAGTGCACAGTGAATTAGAACTTGTGTGTTGTGCACAGGTGTGTGTGGGTAAAGAGAGAATATAGCTCTCCTACTGAACGTAACATCTCTGTGGTATACCAGATACTGAATCAGTGTGTGTGTGTTGGAGTGTCCTATTTCCCAAAGCATTTATGTTTTCTACGGTTCGGTGCTTCTGTGAAGCTCTGGCAGCGATACCAAAACCACCCCCACGCAACCCCGTCAGCCAGAGACTCTGCTCATCCACCTGATATTGACAGACAGGTCTGGATTTCAGCTGATAATCTGAAGCGCATCTGCCCTCGTAATGCTCATAGAGAGTTAATGAGCAACAGAGAAATGAGAAGGAGACTTAAGATGCTGTTAGTATGTATCCATTGTGTGTGTGTAGGTATGTGTGTGTCATTTGTGTGATTTTGACTGTGTGTGCGTATGAAGGATGAGAGGAACCAGGTGCTGATTGCCTACCTGTGGATCAGGCAGACGTGGAACGATGCGTACCTGAAGTGGAATAAAGAGGACTATGACGGATTGGAGGTGATCCACATCCCCAGCAGCTTTGTGTGGAGGCCTGACCTTGTCCTCTATAACAAGTACGCCCGTACGTCACACAAACACACACGCACACCACTGCACATAACTTTCTGATCTTTCTCTTTCATAGGACTTTATGTTGCATTTTTCTTTAAATCCTCATTATAACAGATTAAGAGCGGAATCATCTTAAAAGAATAATTTCAGCAAGAGGCAGAAATTACACACACTTATTATTTGGATCATCATTTGGAGATCACCATTTCCACAGCCTTACTAACATTGCTCAATGACACTAATAATCTCAACAATTGTAAGATTATTATTATGCTTTGACAGTAATAATCTACTTAAATTATATGACTCTTTACAACTGCAGAGTTACAAAGTCCTTTAGTAAACAAAGTGCAATTTAAATACATTAAAGCAGAGTAAAGGTTCCAATTAAAAATAAATAAGCTAAAACATCTTTTAGAAATATCAGAATCAGAGTCATTATGTACCAGGTATGTACACATACGAGGAATTTGACTCCGATCTTCCATTAGTCCCACTGTACATATACAAACAAGCTTTAAAAAACCAGACACAATCTACTATATACAGATACACACAAACATAAACAAAAATAACATTTGTAGACAGCAAGACTAACTGTTCATCGGAGTGGTGGCCTGTGGGTAAAAACTGTTCCAGTGTCTGGTTGTTTTGGTGTACAGCACTTTGTAGTGCCTTCCACAGGGGAGAAGTTGGAACAGGTTGTGTGCAGGCTGGATCTGCAATATATTTTGTCATATAATTTGTTGCATAAGTAAAATACCATTGTTAGAAATGTGTATTAAAGTGGCCATAATCATAATACAATGCACAAACACTGTAGTGTTCTTCTGTAACAGCAGACTACAACAGCTCACCACAATTTAGCTCAATAACATGCTACTTTCCTCCTCCAGAGCTGACGATGACTTCTCGGGGCCGATGGACACCAACGTGAGACTGCGCTACAATGGAGAGATAACCTGGGATGCCCCTGCCATCACCAAGAGCTCCTGTGTGGTGGACGTCTCCTACTTCCCCTTTGACAGCCAGGAATGCAACCTCACATTTGGTTCCTGGACCTACAATGGCAACCAGGTTTGTAGAACAACATGTACGATGTGCAGGATAAAACCGCCTCAATGCAATTAAGTCGCCTTTGATTGATGAATGATACAAAACTTACTCAGGTCTGTGTTGTGAGGCTATGGCCTGTGTGCTAGATTAGGTGGGACTCACCAAGACTGGCCAGCTTGAAAAAGAGATCAGACCACATTTACTTTTGTCTTGAGACCAACCGCATCTGTGGTCATACATATGTGTGTTTATCCATTTGCTGAATTAGTCCTTTCTTGGAAAATGTCAGTGGGTGGAGCTGGTCGTATGCCTCCTCTACAGCTAATCATCTGTTACCCTAATTCCAGGTAGACATCATTATGGGCATGGACAGCGGTGACCTGTCAGACTTTGTGGAAAATGTGGAGTGGGAGTGCCATGGGATGCCGGCCACCAAGAATGTCATCATGTACGGCTGTTGCTCTGACCCGTATCCAGACATCACCTATACAGTGCTCCTGCAGCGCCGCTCCTCATTTTACATCTTCAACCTCCTCCTCCCCTGCTTCCTCATCTCCTTCTTGGCTCCCCTGGGCTTCTACCTGCCTGCAGACTCCGGCGAGAAGGTTTCCCTCGGAGTGACGGTACTTCTGGCTCTCACTGTGTTCCAGCTAATGGTGGCTGAGAGCATGCCTCCATCCGAGAGTGTGCCCCTCATTGGTAAGAGTGTGTTTGTTTAGGATTCTGTTTAAAGTCATTATGTACAGTATTTTTATTGGGTTGTAGCATCTTTAGAATTATTATAGTTGCCTGCAATCCTGTGTGTCAATCGGTCAATCCACCGCTATGCTCCAGACTGCTCTCAACAACTATTGGATGGATTGCCATGAAATGCCGTAGAAACATGGTCCCCAGATAATGTATTATTATGACCTAAAAAGTCCTTGACCTTTCCTCTAGCGCTACCATGAGGTTGACATTTGTGGTTTTGGATCAAATGCCACCCCGGGCTTAATTTTTATAACTCCGGTGATCCCTTAACTGTCCATAATAATGTCAAACTTTAATTTACTAATGACATTCCCATTAGCCTCAGCTGTACTTTATGTTTAGTGTTAATTAGTAAATGTTAGCATGCTAACACGCTCAGCTAAGATGGTGAACCAGGTAAACATTAAACCTGCTTAACATCAACATAGTCATTATGACATTTGCATGCCAACATTAGCATTTAGCTGAAAGCAGTGCTAAGCCTAAGTGCAGCCCACAGATTGTGTATAAATATTCTGTCTATGCTACAGCTTCACAGAGCTGCTAACGTGGCTTTATATTTCAGTGAATTTGTTGGCTAAACAATCACTCTGGTTGCAGTTTTTCAGTGAAGGAATTTCACAGTGGGCAGCTGTGGCTTAGAGGTAGATGGGCGGTTTTATCACCGGCTTCCCCCCCCGTCCCACATGACGAAGTGTCCTTGGTGAAGATACTGAACCCAAATTGCTCCCAAATGCTGTGCCATCGTTGTGAGTGTGTGTGAATGATTTGTTTCTTTCTAATGACCAGTTGGAGCCATACCATAAGTGTATGAATGGGGTGAATGTGGCATGTCAAAAGACTAGAAAAGGCAAAAAGTACAGTCCATTTGCCATTTACAACAAAAGATATTGTAGCGAATGTTGACAGAATTTAACAAAAGCCAAAGAAGCTCCTATCTCCTGTCTGTTTTTGTCCCTATCTGTTACACAGGGAAGTACTATATTGCCACTATGACCATGGTCACAGCCTCCACATCTCTCACCATCTTCATTATGAACATCCATTTCTGTGGTGCAGAGGCCAAACCAGTCCCCCACTGGGCAAAAGTCCTCATCATCGACTACATGTCCAAGATTTTCTTTGTTTATGAGGTGGGTGAGAACTGCGCCTCTGCCTCCTCCTCTACTTCGTCTCTTCACTTCCCCCAGGATGACATACGTCACAAACACCCCAGCTCCCAAATTCATGTGAATGGTAAACCGGGGAACCAGAGTCACAAATACCCAAGACCTCAGACCCCCAAGCCGCAACACCATCCCAGAGTGAAAGCCCAGCACCATATCACTAGAGAAGAGAGGAGCCACCTCTTCAGCCCTGCACCTGGGAAATATGAAGGCTCTAACGGGAAATTCCCCACAGGGGATTGCTGTAAAGAAGACCAGAAGGTCCCCTGCTACCCTGCAGACCAAAAGCTTCTCTGCTGCCCTGAAGACAAAAAGCCACTTCCTCAAGGCCCCACTATTACCTTTGGTCCCTGTGTGTTCTGTAGCTATGGCAGCAGCATCCCTGGTGTGGACACCAAACTGGTGCGCAATGTTGAATATATCGCCAACTGTTTCAGAGAGCAGAGGGCCACATGCGCCAAAGGGGCAGAATGGAAGAAGATCGCTAAGGTGATGGACAGATTCTTCATGTGGATCTTCTTCATCATGGTTTTCCTTATGAGCATCCTCATCATTGGCAAGGCACCGTGACCAAGCAGTAATGCTACAGTTTTTTTTATATATATATTTGATTTAGTGAACTCTTTTTTTGTCAAATAAAAGTCAAAGAGAGTATTTTGTATTTTATAAACATGTTGTATGCTGGCATATATATGGAATTTGTTGCTTTTTCTTTATTCATAATAGAAATATAGATTACAGTGATTTGAAAATAAACAAATTTTAACTTTGCATTCACTGTTTTTGGCAATGTACTTTGCAATGGTAAAACCCCTACTTTTCTTCACATAATAATTTAATGTCCTGTACTGTACATTACATTATTTGGTCTTCATCTAAAACAAAACAAAATGGGCCAGACATTGATTATTTATCCAGGCAATGCAGATAAATTATCATAAAATGGACTTCAGTTACAACGAACTATGCACTGACTGCATTTTAGCTACTTGGCTTCCTATACAATCCTTACCATGTATATTAATAGCAAGTTGTAAATATACAGCTTATTACCCTCCTCATCAATCATGACTTTGATATACAGGTATACTTTATCACCTGACCATTGATTGCACGTAACGGGATCTGCTGTCAAGTTAAAATATGACCAGTGGAGACAGCACATGCCTTATTCACTACTGTGAAATAAGATGCCTGGGGCACAGCGCCAGCGAACGCTCAGGATCTGCAGAATCATTTTTTTGTTCAAGATCCAGTGAATAGTTCATGAGCAAGCTTTGTTTGTAGCGCAGCCAGGGCAGTGAGGATGTAAGGTAATATGGAGCATCAATAATGAAACACAACGAGAACACTCTGACACCCCCTCTTCCAAAAACCCCATACCTTGAACTTGGAAAGTCAAGTGAATGTGTTTGTGTGTATATATAGTTGTGCACAGATGTGGGGAAGGAAGAATAAAAAATAAAACCTAATATTATTGATACAGCTGATAAACTACATTAATTCAAGTATTGTACCAGAGTTATGATGCGCTTGCACTTCCCTTAAGTATTTCCATTGATGTGCAGGTTTATATTCTATCTTTCTTTAATATATACATTAATTTTTGTTAAAAATAAAAGTCATTTTCTCAACCAGCTCAGCACTGTACTGCACTGTTTTTAGCAAAAGTTACTGTTGGAATTAGTGTAGTTGTTGGGTAGTATTTTGTGCTGTGGATTTGGTTTACTAGTGGGTATTTATGGCAGCAGGATGGTTAATGTGGGATTGACTCAAAATAAACAACAGTGCCCATGTTCATTGTGATGAAGCAATATGTCATGCCAAAGCAACATTGTTGCTCACTGAAAACAATGGACATATGTATCCGATCCGAATACTTGTGTATTTTCCTCCTTCCTTATTCCTTTACCTCTTTCAAGATGATAGTTTGTAGGGAATACAATAAACACAGGAGTCAGAATGGTACTAAAGAAAACAGGATTTCTGTTGCAATTATTGCTCCAAAATTTTTCACTGCAATACCTTATTCTTACAGTAGAGGGCACTCATTTCCAACATACCATTCTGGTGGTGGATGCTCCAGAGCTTGCCGTTTAACCCTGCATATGGCAACATAAGTGCAGATTTGCCCCTCAGAATTATTCCTCCTGTCTCTTCATCACCTGCAGTGAACCACTCACAACATGTCACCACGGAGAGTAGAAAAATAATTTGTAGGCCGTATATTAGAACTCTAGGTTATTGTAAGACAAGAGACTATACGTCTCACATGCAGCAATTCCATAATTAAATCAAGCGCCTATTAATGAAAGGGAGCTTGTCGGTAAAAAAAATGCTGTGGCAGCAGGCAGCACGCCTGTTGATTGTTCTGCTGAGTTTCTCAGTGTCGGTTCTGTTGAGCAGCAATCAAATGGGCAGAGGAGTTTTTTTTTATCCTCCTCTCCAAAGTGATTGTCATGCGCTAGGCATCTGATATAAGTGCGAATATCTTACATTTTCTGTCAGAGGGAAGCCGACTGCATTGCATTGCATTAGTGCTCAGTGAGCCGCAGGGGCCACAGTAGACCGTAATCACCATGGGAAACCAGGAGAAGTGCGAACCATGTAATTTGGACAGGCGCAGCAGCTCAGGCACTGATAGAAAGACTGCTGGGGAAATTACCAAGTGCTTTACAAAATTACAATTGGAGAAGTATTAACCATCACCACTTAGATTTACAAAATCACTGTGGTGATGCAATTAATTCACCAGTGACTAACAAGCGGTGGAATGGTACTTTTACACAATTACCATTCTTAAGCACATTTTAAAGTACAGTACCTTGTTCTGCACTACATTTATCTGACAGCTGTGTATCCTTATTTATTTGCATATTAAGATTTGAAATACAGGACATATGGTCATCATAAACTGAATCTACATTAAAATGTTGCTGACATGTTTCATCAATCATACTTACCCAATAATAATAATAATACTCTTAGTGGGACCATTTTGCATTATGAATACTTTTCATACTTAAAGTACATTTTGTGATACTTTCATGCTTTTACTTAATCACTCACTATTTATTGTACTGTTACAAATGTGGTATTGCTGTTTTTGTGAACCATTGTGACTACCATTTGAATATTATTCTTTATTTTACTACAAGGAAGAAATCTGAACTATTTGAGATTCTTTATGGGCTTTGAAAGCAATTTTAAAGATTACATTTATTAATTTGTGTGGGTCACTTATTGCCTGACCTTATGGGTCTCCACTAAATGATTATGCAAATTGATTATTACCAAATTACTTGACATGAGTGTTGTGGGGAAAAAAATGGAGGAATCAGCAGTAGCCTACAGTTTGACAACTTATTCTGTGCAGACAGACTTTTTGTTCATGTAGAGAGACTGAGTATTTCAGTTGTAATACTTGTCCAGTGTAATATGTGCATGTTTGAGTTTTACAGTAATTTAGATGATTGTCTCAGATAGAATAATTGATGTGCAAATTGGAGAGGAAAGTAGAGTCACCCCCTATGCACAGGGCCTGTAACCCCTCGCTACATAACATTACGCCCCTGCCTTTGGATAAAACTTCCTCCATGGACCCCACTTTTAAAACAGCAGCTGCACTGCCATCTGCAACTGATTTATGGTTTATGTATTACTGTCCAGCAGTGATGTCGTTAGCTTTCGCTTGACATAATGCTCTGTAAAACTTTAACAAGCCAACAGTGTTCCAGATAGACAGAGGACATCCAGCGTTAAGGAGATTAATTCTTGATCCGTGAAGAACAGGACCTTGAAATTAGCATGCGGTTGCCGCGGTGATAGAAGCACGCTAATCCAAAGTGCTCCACAATGTTGACAGACATTTAGAAAGTTTGTTTTCAAGTGGAGACTCAACCCTGCACATATGACGACTTAAAGGCATTTTTCATATAAATTACCGATAAAAAAGACTCCAATGTAGGAGCAGGTTGTTGCAGTAAACATCTGTGGAGACGCCCACCGCCTCATGACGGACCCAGATTTATAGAGGGGAATTTATGGGCAGTTAAAACTTTGCGTCGCGTGAAAGATTAACAGAACCACCAACAGTAGAAACGTTACCGTTAATCTAACGTTACATACCGGTAAATATGAAGAGTCCCGGACACGACTACAGTATTTTTGGGAGAGAAAACAGGACACTCTTCTGAAATGGTAACGTGAATTTCACTGAAATATTTTCTAGTTCACCGCAGCGAACAGGCAGTAACGTTAACCTCATTTTACGTTAACGTTAAATCAATGCCGTGGTTAGTTTGCTAGTTAGCATAGTTGACTTTAACAAATCATTCCGAAAATATGACATAACCTAGTTAAAGTTAGCCAACGTTACTTCACTTGTTTTAAAACAAAATCAGAGTTGTATTCAGTATAACTAAGTTATGCCTCAACGGTAGCGTCACTCAAGTTAATGTTACAGCCATTGATTAATGTAATCTGGTGAGTTTAATTTACCTTAAATTAAACAAAGCAAAGATACTATAAGCCATAGTAAATATACACTTTACACCATGGCTATAAATGTTAGCTTTGAGTTTAATTATGTGGATGACATTTGGTTCAACGTAGCTTATTTAACTACTTACATAAAGTCAAGTGAAGTCAGTTTGATTTGTATTGCCAAAACTCACAAATTTAGTGGTTTGATGAGTCTGTGAGGGGTGTGTGCATTATTTAAATCCTTAAAGTAAATATTTTACGTCTTTTCAGGTGTCAGAAAGAAAACACATCTCCGAGATGATGGTGAAAAATAAAAATATAGGAGGGCGTCCTAAACGCTCTTCCACATGCAAGACAAAAAAAGCTGGCTCCAAAATCGCATGCAACACGGACGTGACTCCTCTGGATAACCCAGCCGACAGTGACATCCCTGCTATCTCTCCAGAGCTCCAGACCACTGGGCAAGGTCAGCTGGGCTTTCCAGACAGAGTCTACCTTCTGGCGTCAGTGATCTTCCAGAATAACCACCTGGAAAAGCCTGCTGCCCAGCGGTTGGTGAATTATGGCAAAGAGGGAGGGCTCCCATTGCCTGAAGTGAAAGATGAGGAGATGCAACGTACAGCTTATGAGCTGGCCTTCAATACACTTAAATGTGAGTGGCGGGTAGAGTGGTTGGATTTGTTGAACCCTTTGTCATTACTATTTTTCCTTCCTTCCTTCCCTTTTCTGTCAACCTTGCATGTTTGTATATATCCCCACAATTCATACACTTACATTGTTGTTTTGGGTGGCTTTAGAGTGAGGACATCAGCAAAGGGTGTTCGGTATCCCCTATTCTGAGGCACATTAAGTTGCAAGTAAACCCTATTTGACTCCAGGCAAACACACAACCATTTGAAATGAGAATGAATAGCCCTGGGGATGTTAATTGACAGGTAGAATTGGATTTAGATAGATTGATGAAGGGCAAGTAGAAGAGAAAAAAAAACGCTTGAATGACCAGGAGGAATTCTGTGTGATGCTACACAAATCAATTTGGCTCATAATCTGTTATCTGGCACAAGGGTGGGGTCTGGGTGACCGAAGTCACAGGGGTGTGTAATCAACATGGCGATAAGGCAGGGGAGGTGAGCTGACTGTCAGTGCAGGATGATGGCTGGAATCGATTTAATGCGTCCTTAGTGGATGGAGCGGTCAGGTAGCAGGAACACCCTCGTAGCCATGAATGATTTTCTTCCTTCTAACTATCCATCCACTGAGCTTGGATAAGCTTTGGGCCTACATGTCCCACAATTAATGCAGATTGCCTCGAAATATCCATTATCACAAGCGCCAGCACCTTGTTGTAACCTTTATTAGTTTAACAGCTGTAGATCATCGTACTCACATTACCAAGTGAAATTGACTTGATTGCTAAGGATAATAAGAGAGAACATAGGGATTTTATTGGCAAGACATTGTTTTCATCCATCACCCTTTTTTCACTCTATGAGAGGATGCTTGTATATGCTAACCAATTTGAGGAATTTGCTATTACTGTAGGCACATGGAAACATGTTAATTTGCTCAAGAACATATAATAATATGAGCTCTACTTAGAAGGGGAAATGGCCTGCTTGAGATTAGAACAATTACAATATACTGCATTTCTTGTTAAATTTAATCCTCTTTTTGTTCAGGGCTCATTTCAAAGACAAATATTCTCTGTCTTATCAGTGAGTACAGTTCCTCTACAGCACCCATCCCCCCACATCTGACATTTCCAGAATTAGTTCATTTGTCGAATTTCAGCTAGTGGGGTACTTCAACAGAGCTCATTTAAAGAAAGGAGGAACTATAAAAGCCATCATAGCTACAGTATTATTGGCAGAAACCGGTTACATTGTCCCCGATCTTTAGTTATCTTTATTTTTTTTTTTATGGACCATGGTTTAATAGGAAAAAATGTTTTTCTGTATTTAAGGTGTTAATGAAACTATACTCCACTTATAGAGACATGATCGTTGACTTGGCTCAATCACATACGTATTTTTGTCATGTGTTAGATTTACTAGCACTGGCTG